AGATTAGAAGTGAGATATGATGAAGATTTCTTTCCACAGAAGGAGAGCTGAAATTTTGACAACAAGAAACTAGTGGAGCCAACTAAGGTTGAACGACAAGTTGTTGTTAAGCATCTCGACATGATATGGTCCAAGTTGCCTTATTCGAGATCTGATTATATGTGGAGACATGAAAAGAATTGGAATAAATCTTCCTTGTGATGTGTTTCAAGAGTTAAATTAGAACAGACTCTACTCTCCTAATTAATCCCTGCTGAGTCAGACATATCTACATCTACATTCTTCAAAGATAATAAATTTTCTTTTTAAAGATGATAGATTCTCTTTTTGAAGATGAAAGCTTTATTGGATTTCTACACAATTCCAGACAAAGAAAGCTGATGTTACCAAAGGCAAAATGGGGCATCAAAGTCATAGTTCTGACTACGGCAAGAGTTCCACAAATAAAACATTTCTTCTGAGACTTAAATAAAACAAAGAAGACACAAAGATACAAGTTGATCAGATGATTCTGCAGAAATGCAAGCTTGATAGCATAAGTTTCTACACTGATATCCAGAGGTAACCCTGGCAATAAATGATGAAGTGAAGGAAGACCAAATTCACCAAACTTTGAATTCAAATGAAGATTGCATCAACATTCATGCATTCATAAGAATATCATTTACACAATAGACAATGCATTACATTGATACATATGATTGCATTCAAACATAAGGTTTTGCAAATCTTCATATGAAAAAGAAGATTCACGATGAACAATACCTTATAAGAAAAAGGTAGATTTCAAAACCTCGAATACAGGAATCACGCCAACATCTGAAGAATAGATGGACGTAATCCACAAAAACAACCTTATCTTAAGATTGGGGCATGTTACCCAATCAACATGTTATTTTGAAAAATAATGAGAAAACGATTTCCATAGTTTCTCATTCAATCTTTTCTAGAAATGAAATTGTTGAAAAGTAAGAAAACGATTTCCTTAGTTTTTTTACTTAGTAAACTATTTCTCACATCTGTAAGTCCTACAGTGCATGATGTTTCCAAAACGCCTTCGGGAGCTTTTTGATGTTTTCAAAGCCTTAGGGTCATCTGTAAGTCCTGCAGTGCATGATGTTTCCAAAAAGCCTTCGGGAGCTTTTTGATGTTTCCAAAGCCTTAGGGTCATCTGTAAGTCCTACAGTGCATGATGTTTCCAAAAAGCCTTCGGGAGCTTTTTGATGTTTTCAAAGCCTTAGGGTCATCTGTAAGTCCTACAGTGCATGATGTTTCTAAAAAGCCTTCAGGAGCTTTTTGATGTTTTCAAAGCCTTAGGGTCATCTGTAAGTCCTACAGTGCATGATGTTTCCAAAAAGCCTTCAGGAGCTTTTTGATGTTTTCAAAACCTTCGGGTCATCAGCATTTTCAGAAGAGTTCATAATAAGAAGAACTCATCTGAAGAAGGAAGAAGAAGTTCATAATGAGAAGAGCTTGTTCAACCTTTTGCTCAAATCCATCACTTGATGGATCAGCTCTTCCAGAGAAAGTTCATAATGAGAAGAACTAATCTGAAGAAGGAAGAAGAAGTTCATAATGAGAAGAACTTGTTTAACCTTTTGCTTGAATTTATCACTTGATGGATTAACTCTTCCAAAGAGAGTTCATAATGAGAAGAACTCATCTGAAGAAAGAGGAAGAAATTCATAATGAGAAAATTTTGTTCAACTTTTTGTTTGAATTCATCACTCGATGGATCAACTTTTCCAGAGAAGAGTTCATAATGAGAAGAACTTATCTGAAGAGGAAGAAGAAGTTCATAATAAGAAGAATTTGTTCAACCTTTGTTTGACTCTATCACAGAAGGAGATAGATCAGCATCAACATTACCAGAAGTGTTCATAATGAGAAGAACTCATCTGAAAGAGAAGAATTTGTTCAACTCTTTGCTAGATTGCATTATAAAAAGAGATAAATTGTCATCCCCAATGGAAAAGTTCATAATGAGAAGAACTAATCCCAAAGAAGAAGAACTTGTTCAACATTTCCATCATAATAAAATGAAGTCAAATGAAAAAAAAACTTATTGTCTTTTCGTCTTTGCCCTATTCTCGTTAGCATAAGAATGAACAAAGAGGGGCAGCTGAAGACACTAGCTTTTATTTCATTTGTTTTATTTATTATTATTATTTTGTATTATTATTATATTATATTATTATTAAATAATTAATTAATTTTAATACATTGCAGGCCCAAAACCTGGAGCCCAATTACAAATTAATTCGGCCCAGTTTACATGCCCAAGCCCAATCAGATACAAGCCCAACCCGGATCTAGCTAAACCCTAAACCAAATTTAGGGTTTGTATCATCTCAGTCAGCCACCAGCTCTTTTCAGCCGTTGGATTTGGCAAGATCCAACGGCCCAGATGGTTCCAGCTTGAAACCCTAGGGTATCATAACCCTAGAGCCACATCCCAGCCACCGCCGTTGATTCCATAAGGCCACACGTCTGATGCCGACGCTTCAACTGCTAGGCGTCGCTCCAACCGTTGCTGTAATGCCACGTCGCCCCCATCGAAACCTCCAGAAGCGCCTCGTCATCACCCCACGTCGAGCTCTATGGTGAGTCACCACCATAGCTATGGTGACTCACCGAGAAACCCTTCTGTGATTGGTCCGAGGAGCGTTTCGTCGAGGCTATAAAAGCCTCGACTCACCTGCAAAATAAAAAAAAGGCAGAGAGGAAGAGAGGAGACAGAAACCAGAAAAAAAAGACGAACAACCAAGAAAAAAGAAGAGAGAAAGAACAACGAGTAAAAACAGAGAGGGAACCCACAACACAGCAACCAGAAACAAAAAAAAGGAAGATAGAAGAGAGGAAAGAAACTTACTCTGTCATCGGAGAGCCCTAACCGTCGCCGGAAACAACCAAAACCCGAAGGTATTTTCATAGATTTGCTCCGATCAGGAGCTTTTTAAGAAAAATGGTCACCGGAACCTTCATTAGGACGGTCCGATCTATGTTTTGGTATAAAATAAAATTTTTCGGCCACCGGATGCGGTGGCCGGCGGTGGTTGCCGACGCCGGAGCACGGCTGCCGGCCGGTGGTCTCTCTATCAGTTTTAGAGAGAGGCGAGAGAGTTAAAAATTCTCTCTCCGTTTTGGGAAGGGTATATCTATAATTTCGTGCATGGACAAACCCTTTCCGCAGCCCTCCTAGTTTGTAATCCTTGCAATTTAGTCACTGAAAGCAATTTTTGATTATTTTAATTTAGTCTTCTAAATTTATTTAATTTTATTTTAGTCCTTAACTGCATATATAATTAGGATAAATAATATATTTAGTCCTCAATAATTTTAATATTTTTGTTTTAGTCCTGTATTATGAATTATGATTAAATTACACTTTTAATGCATATCTTTTATATATTTTGAATTAGTACTCTAGTTTTATAATTTTACATTTTAATCATTAAATTTTCATTTTTGACTATGATTTTTTAATATTTTACATTTTAATACTATATTTTTAATTCCTTTTATTTTAATCATTATTTGCAATATTATTTTATTATTATTATTATTATTTATTGCTTTAATTATTATTTCATTATTATTATTTTTATTATTTATATATATATATATATATATAATAAATAATATTTGTTTATTTATTCTATTTGTTTTCTATTAAAATCCTATATTTCATAAATTACTTTTAATAATCATATTTTAATTTATTTTTCAATATTAAAAAAATGACTGTTTTAAAGCACCTAGAAGTCCGTTTTCTGATATTTTCAGTAAATATCATACTTTTATAAATCATATATTAACTTTTAATAAATGTTTTATTTATTTTTATATCAAAGAAAAGAGATGTCTTAAAGCACCTAGAAGCCCTTTTATGATATTTCTAAATAAATAAATATCTTATTTATATTAATATATTTTCATAAAATCATAAATTTGAAATAAAAAAATATTATAAGTTAAATATATCTTTGAATTTTAAATATCTAATGATAGAGAGAATTTATAATTAATAAAGTACCAATTTTGGGCATTATAGGGGTGCTAATCCTTCCCTGAATGTAACCGACCACGAACCCATTTTTATTAAAATTTTTGGTTATATGCAGATCAGTTTTATCTTTTAAATATTGTTTTCTTAAAAACTATTTTAAAAGATTGTTTTTAGGTAATTGATCTACCTAACCCAAAAAGGTCAATGGCGACTCTCAAACCATTTTTTTTAATTATTTTGTATCCACATTATTTTTCCCGCCAAGTAAAAATTCGTGTCCGGGCGAAAACCGGTTACGACACTTATCATCAATTGATTTTAAGAAGGAATGGTGATCATTCGCTTCAGAACTCTGTAGTTAAGCGTACTTGAACCAGTGTAATCCAAGGATGAGTGATCCCACTGGGAAGTTGTTTGAAAATTGAATGACTCCATCCTAAAATATATATATAATACGGAATCCATAATTCCAAAAATGTTATATATTCATATAATACAATATAAATCAAATAGAAAAAATTGCTAGGTATAAGTATATACATACAAATGTGCTTAAACAATATAAATTATATTAACATATTAATTGCACAGACAAACAAATGATACCTTAGTAACAAGTTCACAACATGAAAAATGTAAAAATCAATTTTTTAAAATGAAATGTAAATATATATTTGATGGATCGAAATGCAGGGACCGTAAATAAATGTGCACAAAAAACGTAATTAATCCATAAATAATCAAGACTCAAATGAAAGATTTTCAAATAACAAGCCAAATGTAAACAAACATAACAAAACAAAATAACTAAACATCAGAGACCAAATTATAAAGCGTGTGAAATAAAAGGATTAAATCTGGAAATCAAATAACCACTAAATGGGGACTAAATTGCATTTCCTCAAACATTAGCATGGCCTTACAACAAACAACCTAAAACATCACCTATATGTATTCCAACCCTAAGTTAAAAGCGGTGCTAGCCCATGGATATTTCAAAGCATTTGTTTATGCTAAAAAAAACACCTACCTATCTTAATCCCTACTCTTCACAGCCGCTCATCCAAGACTTAGGAAAACAAATTCTTAGCTTTCTTTCTCCTTAGTAAAAAGATGAACCGACATTTTCCTTTGAACCATGATTCCTCTCAAAACAAACACTCCTTGATCCCTGCAACAACCCTCAGCCTAGATTTAAAAGAAAAGGATTATATTTACTCTGATGAAAAGGTTTTCTTCGTTCCAATGATGAATCAAAGGCTGCGTTTCTCAAACGAAGAAGGTAAGAATTATTTTGTTGGGTTTTCTCTCTATTTCTCTATGTTTTTCGAATGAAAATGGCTCCCTTTTTTTTACTACTCTCCCTTTTAAACACCGAAAACAACCCCTTTTTCATGTTTTTTATTTAATTAGGTCTCTATTGATGATGCTTGGCGAGGGGTCTCTATTGATAGCTTCGAAGGACTGTGATGAGGGTGGTTGGTTAGGGTTTTTAACGCCTTAAATTTTATGGGGGGTTTTCTTATGATACTACAGTTTTTTATATTTTTATTCTATTTTTTTTGTTATTTTCACTGTATTTTTTAGTTTGTTCAGGATCGATGATAGAGACTGGGAGCTCTGGTGACCTGCAGCGAGAGAGGCTTTGACTAGTGGTGACGGCGCAACTCTTTTTCTCCTTAGTGGTTACAGTAGCTAGGTTAAGTTAGGATTTGGTGTTTTGGGCTAGGTTTAGGTTTATGTGAGTAAATGAGTTTGGTATTGTAATGGTCCCAATGAAACTCAAATATAGATCCTATACATAATTTGTATCTACAGCTGTCCGTCTTTGTTCATTATGTGAAACATAAATAGAGCAAAGATCAAAAGATGGTTAATTTTATCGGTGGGATAGTTTAGGGTCTATTTAGGGTCTCAAAATACCTTGGAAGGTCAATCTGCTTATTGCAACTTCAGGATATGTTGGATTTAATATGCTCCCTTGCACTTTAGGGTATATCATATCTAGAAACTTTGATTCATTTCACTACTATTCAAAAAAGATTGAATTGGGGTAGATTTTCTTCACTACTATTCAAGAAAGATACATGGATTAATTGAAACTTGCATTTTCTAAACTTTGCACACAATTGATGCTCTTTGAATGTATGAAGTACGATTTGGAGATGAAGATTGTGGTCCTCCTCTAGCTACGAGTAAACTGGGATATCATCAATAAATACTACTAAAAACTAATCCAACTAAGGGTGGAAGACTCAGTTCAAGAGATCCATAAATAATACTAGTGCAATGGTAAATCCTAATGACATACTAAGAACTCCTTAACCTTCAACTGATAATACCTTGATATCAATTCTATCTTAGAAAAAACTCTGTCTCGTTTAAGTTCAAACAAATCATTGATCCTTTGGAGTGGATACATATTCTTTATCATCAACTTCTTTAATTGTCAATAGTTAATACACAATCTCATCGGTTGTCCTTCTTCTTTACAATTAACACAGGTGCTCTTCATGATAATAAACTCGGTCAAATGAATCCTTGCTATATCAACTTTTAAATTTGGGGTTTAAGCTCTTTTAACACGATCTGTGTCATGCTGTAAGGAGTGATAGACACAATACTTGATCCTGGCAAAACCTCAAAGCCAAAGTCTAATTTTCAATCAAGCACCTTAGTAATTACTTCAAAAATACTTCGAGAAAGTCTCTCATTGCATGAATATCTTTAAGTGTTAGGCTCAGAACTCTAGTATCCACCACATGAGCTAGAAATGTATCGCAAACCTAAATGATCAACATTTGAACAACTAAGGCTGAAACAAACTTATAGGTGCAACCCCGACCGTAACAAACCATTACAATTTTTGTATCATCATCATTTCTTAGTTTAAGTTGCCTAGATTTTCGTCTCAGACTCACATCATGCTCTGAAAACCAATCTATTCCTAAGATTAAATCAAACCCTCAAAAAATGTAGTTCTATTAGGTGGTTGAAAAGATCTAACTCTGAATCTCAATCGGGCAGCAACGGTAGACCTTGTCCACTAGAACATTTAGCCCTAACAGACTCGAAATGCTAACCTTGACCTCAAGGTCCTCAATTGGAATACACCACTCTTAGACAAGCTCACAAAAAATATAGGAATGAGTAGAGCCCATATATATTAAAGTTGTAACATAAGTACTAAAATCGTTGAAAATACCTTAAATGACATCGATTGGCTAACTCTTCTCTTGGTCCCTCACCGCATACTACCTAGAGGCAAACCTATCCTCAGGTACAGCTACTAATCTGGTAGTGCCCCAACTTTACTGACTCTACACTGAATTATCACCCCTCTAGATAGACCCTAAGCCCCTCTGAACAAATTGAACCAACCATTGAGCAACCAGTGGTGCAACACTCCCTGCCTCGGGACAGTCTCTGATGAAGTGCTCTAATGAGCCACACCCAAAGCACACCTTGAAAACTCAATAACAATACTCAATTTACTATTTACTAAAGTGTTTGCACAACGAAGGCTATGAACCTATGATCAATCCTCTAATACACGTCATAAAGGCTGAAATCAAAGGCCTCATATGAGACTTCATCCATTTACGGAGTCCTGAACTCTACCTCAACTTCTAGGACTATAGTGGTGGAGACCTATACACTCCTTGAGAGTCCCTGACCCTCTTTGTCGAATACTAGAAAGGTTCAACAGAATCTGGTGCCCTTTGAATTTCTCATTCAGAGTCACCTATTAGACAGACTCGTATGCTTTAAACTCTCTCGATCATCTTGGTATGGCGAGTAAACTTTGTAAAGACCCTAAGGGTCAACTAATAGGTGGGTGAGGATATCGATATGTAGCCTTTCTCTGAACCTCAGATAGTGAAGGTCCTCAACCTTTCTCTAAGTAACCCGAGGGTAAGGTGTATCTATCAGAGAGTACAAAGGGTCTCATGAAGCCATTCATCAGTAATAATGAGATCATCATCCCCTAAACCCAATAACTCAATGGTCTTGTAATGTTAAAGTCCCTCTACCAATGACTGAGGTACTATTTATGGTGAAACAAGTGATATTGGTATAGCGGGTGCCATTAAAATAACTCTAACTATATGCCTAAAAATAAACGTGAGGACTCTAAATAAGGTCGCCCCATCTATTCTTGCATCCTCTAGGACACCCATGTCCTCAGATTTCAGTACAAACTTATTACCAATGTCCTCGACAAGTGAGTCACGACTCTCATCACGGTCCTCATAACTACTATTGAGATCATTAGCTATATCCTTAGGAATTGAAAGAAAGAGATGATTCATTATCCTTATTTCATATATTTAAGTACTATTGACACTCTAGAGACATGTACTCATTAACACTTAATGACTCTAGCCCGTGGGTCCTAGGAATGATTGGATCTAACGCTCCGATTCCACTAAATATAACACCCAAATTCGAACTAACTTGAAATTCGGAGGATTTAAATATTACATGAAACTATCAAGTGACTAACCATATTTTAAAATCATTACTCATAATCATAACAAGTTATCCATAAAAATTCATAGTTGGAAACATAAACATTTAAGTTTTACAAATTGGGAAGCTCTTAAATATAATATCTCAAAATATACGAGTTTGGACAAAAGAGCGTTATGACTAAATTATACATAAGTTTTATGAAGTACAAGCCCTCTAAAATAACTGAGCCATACTGTAAGCACGACAAAATATGAAATCCACAATATGGTGATAAGTTCCTCGACTGACACCTAAGACCAGCGAATGAAGACAATTCTAAATGATGAACTATGAGTCAAAGCCACACAAATAAGTCTACTATACTACATACATTCACTAAATAAGTACGCTAGCAAGTTTAGTCATTAAGCAATGTAATGCTTCAAGCATAGATCACAACAAAGCAATATGAGCAGTTTGAAGTTTCGGGGTATAGTGGCAATGTCATTACTTAACTAAAGTAACTAAAGTGCCTTCACACTGGTACTAAAGTGCCTCAATACTGATATGGAAATTTATGGAAATGCATTAGCACTGCTACTAAATTTCCTTAGCACTCTTAGGATATATCTAGATATTTCACATACATATACATTTGACATTCGTCATACATTCAAGTAGCTTGGGTGTCCTCATCATTTCCCAGTGTAAAAAAGGCATAATTCTTATGGAATCCTACCTCATAATGATATTATGTTATCACATAATTGTTGAAATTCTCACTTATAATTTTTTAATTAAGATGTTCTATCAATCCTAACCACATTCTTGTCCCTTAATCAGAGTAAAGCTTATAGCCATTGCATTCATGATGGTATCCATAATCATCTTGATGGTATCAATACTACTCTACTCTTCCTTAGGGTATCAATACTAAATTTACATACTAGAATTTGAGAAAAACCCCAATATCGATACCCCTACCTAGAGTATTAATATTATCTTCCTAGTGGTATCGGTACTACCCAAGTATCGATACCATATTCACATTTGATGTTCTAAAAAAATAACCCAATATGGGTACCCCTAACTGGAGTATCAATACTCCCCTTCAGTGGTATCGATACTCTTTAAGTACCAATACCAAATTTGGCTACTAGAATTTAAAATCACCTTGGTATCAATATCAGACTCTTAATATCATTATCTGATAAATAGTATCTATACAATATGAGTGGAGTATAAAAATGCCACTAAAACCCCATATTTTTGGCTTATCAAACAAAAAGTATCAGTATTTTTTATTTAGTATCGATACCCCAAACCTAGAATACTCTATTTTTCATGAGTAAAGTACTTATACTCACAACCAAGGTCCTTCTAAGGCCCTTAAACGTTATTAAAAGCTTATGTAGGCTCAATGGATCATAAAAGATCATTTCTTTAAACATGAACAACATCAAAATACCCTTTCCCTTTCATGAACACAATTTCACCCAAACTACCACATGCATTCATACAAGTAACCAACTTACACACAGTGACCTATAAGTATTATAAACGAGTTAAGATTATGTTACATTGACCCTAGTTTTTGAAAAATGCCTCAAGGTCACCCAAGCGCAAGCTTCTCTTTGTTCTTGCATTTGGATCTCTCTCCAAATTCTTTCACTAATCAAAAGCAAGGAAATGAGCTACCAACTATCTAAAGGCTTAAAAAGAGTAAAAGCATGATTCTTAAACTCTAAGAACATATCAGAATCATCCTAGAGCCTAAAACTTAAAACCCTTCTAAACTATTCCTATAGCAACCATGGCCAAAACATGAAATGGTGGGTTTGAAATCATATCTAGGGTAGTAGACTATAGTTCTTACCTTAACAATTTCATCTATACTTGCTAAATAATATAGTTCTCACCTTGGTCACTCACAATAGGAATAAGAAGAAAGTAATGTGAGGAAGAAGAAACTAATAGTGAAGAAAATGAGAAAGGTAAATTTAAAACTTTTCCCCTATTGACATCACTAAGTTTTAAAGGTTTTTAGCATTTCAAAAATTTAGGGGTTAATTACCCCTTTATTTCACCCCACTTTGGTCACCATTAAAAAAATACCTTTTAGCATCATTTGGGCATAACCCAAGCCCAAACCATACCACACGCAACCCAACTCTTCATGAAGGCCAACTATAATTACTCAAAGCTCAAATAGGTTATCCAAAAGTACTAGCCTTGTATTCAGGGTGTTACATTCAAAACATACTAATGAGCCAAAACATAAGTATTTAGATTGACAATAAGTCAAACTACATTTCCACTCTTTAGCCTAGACAAAGTTCTAATACCTCATTGAGTAGACCTATTATTCCAAGACCTTAAGGTCGCTCTAAAAGGTCAGGCTAAAACATCACTACCCAAAATAAGGCATACCCAAAATAATAGACCTTTGGGGGAAAAGTTTATTAGTTTTGACAATGGGGGTTTTAAAATGATTT